ATCCTGAATTATATTGAAAGAGCATTATACTGAAGAGCCCTTTCCTCCTTGAAGATGACTACTAACAGTGATGATATGAACTGCAGAGAGTAAGCGATTAAATTCATTATGTAATCAGCAAAATATGTCATAAACACCATATAAAAACAAACCAAATGACAGACATAAAACACAGATACTGATAAGAAAAATGCTTCCCCTTGAATATTATTCTTATCAGCCTATTAACAGCAATAACTCTTTCATGCCCTAATGCTATACTTCTCCTGTGTCTTTATTAACATTTGCTATTTTAATTCTCTTCCAAGAGAACTTTGGCTTGCCTTTTTCTGTTATTGTCCACATTTCTTAGTTCAAATGGCTCAACATCAGTTTTCAGTAACTGGATAGGTTCAGGTTGGTCTTGTCCACAGGAACTACTGGGCACAGTACGATGTTGGTGACGTTCAAATGCAATGAGGTCTCGAACTGGAATGAGTTTTGGTGCCTGAAAGTGTTTAGAGAGACAAAGAAGCAAAAATTAAACAATGACACAGAAAAGACAGACAACCCATCAGGTTAGAAGAAATCCAAATCCTACTCTGCCCTGTTGAGACCCCACCTGGAGTACTCTGTCCAGCTCTGCAGTCCTCAGCACAGGAAAGAACTGCACCAGTTGGAGCTGGTCTGTAGAGCAACAAAAAGCATGAGAGGGCTGGAAAGGGCTAGAGCATCTTTGCTATGAAAACAGGCTCAGAGAGTTAGGGTTGTTCATCCTGGAGAGGAGAAGGCTCCAGGGAGACGTCATAGTGGTCTTTCAATACTTAAAGGGGGCATATAAGAAAGAGGGGGACAGATGTTTTAGTAGGGCCTGTTGTAACAGGACAAGGAGTAATGGTTTTAAACTAAAAGAGGGTAAATTTAGACTAGATATGAGGAAGAAATTTTTTACAATAAGGTTGGTGAAACACTAACTGGTTGCCCAGAGAGGTGGCCCATCCCTGCAAACACAAGCTCAGGTGGCACTGGGCTCTAAGCTACTTGATCTAGTTGAAAATGTACCTGCTTATAGCAGGGGAGTTGGACTAGATGTCCTTTAAAGGCCCTTTGTAACTAAAAACCATTTTATGAAAAAAGGTGGTCCAGTTTGGGTCTAAGCAGTAACTTGTAGAGAAAGTGAAAACCGAGTATTAATAACAGCAGACTAGCTTCTTGCCTAATGTGTGTACGTGTAAACTATTTTCTGAAAGTAAAATAAAATATGAATTTTCTCCACATAATTTATTTCATGAATATTTGCATTTTTAATGTATCTAGTTCAAGATGAAGGTAGCAACTGTGCAATGTAGCCAAGGATTGAAAAAGCACCTTTCAAGGAAAAACACTTTTTTCAACTAGCATGTGCAATCACTTGAGAATCTATCAGAAAAACATTCTTCTCACCCAGACAATAAGGTTTTCTTATGAAACATTTTAAGATTCCATTTGTGTCCTTAAACAAGCAGTTTTATTACTGCACTCTTTGCATTACTGCAAATAACCATAATTAAATTTCTGTTAAAACTTGATTATTTTTTACCATAGAAATATTATCCAGTATTTAGGTAGCTCCTTAGTAATAAATGTAAGAAATGTATTGAATGGTGATGTAAGAAATGTATTGAATGGCATGTGGAATCAACCTAGCATGTGTAAAAACATTTCTAAGCTTGCAGCCTGCCTCACTTTGATGTGCCAGTAAGAAGGTACATTAGCTCCAGATCCCTTTGGATAGCTGTGCTCAACACTTCCAATTCCATAGTCTGGAAACATTAACTTATTTTTAATTAATAAGAAATCACAAAACTGAGAAAAACCTATAACTTAGAAAAATATATTAAAGTACCTTCTTTTTTGGAGATAAATTAGCATGAAGTAATGATATTCCTGTGTGCTGTGCTGTTTCTCTGCAGTAAGTCTCCTTTATATCAGGTTTAATAGGTATTAAAGTAGCAGTGATTGGCTGCCTTACAGCTGGAGGAACTCTAGGTACTGGGTCAAGTTGCAAGTGCAATAGTGGAATACCAGCCAGATTCTGAGTGATCAGTGCTTTGTCCATATTCATATTTGCAGAGGACTGCTGTTGAGGTGAAGCTTCTTGCTGTCCTTCGTACTGGTCTAGATTCAGGTGTTTGGGAGGTCCCTTGTGCACTTTTTCTGCCCATCTTGCCTCTTTCTTGGGCATTTGCCTTGGGATTTTAGGGTCATATCTAAGCATGTTCAAATCTTCTTTTGGTTTACTCTTTCTTTGTATATCTGATGACTGACGGTTCCATATGGAATCTGATGAACTCCAGGCAATTCGTGGTATTGGTCTATCAAAAGCCAATGATGACATTTGCATTGGATGTAAAAATGCTGGTTTGAAATGATGACCTGATTCAAGCTTAAGCAAAGGAAACCCATTTGAATACTTCATGGTTTTTTCTACAGGGATAAGCTTTGGTGTTTTCTGGACATCTGAGGAAGAAGCTAGGAGATGAAGTGGTTTTATAAGTGCTGAAGAAGATAAGTCTTGAAATGGAGGCATAAATCCTGTTGCTTTGCTTTGGCTTTCTAATCTGTTTAAAGAAACGTTAACATCCAGATGATTCTAAATCAAAAAAAAGGACAAAACACAGCATTTAGAAACAGAATCGTTTTGGTTGGAAACCACTTTTAAGATCATCAAGTCCAACCATTAACCTAACACTGCCAAGTTCACCAAACTAACTTATGGCTCAAAGCATCCCATCTACATGTCTTTTAAATATTCCCAGGGATGGTGACAAAACCATTCCCTGGGCAGGCTGTTCTAATGCCTGACAACCCCTGCAGTAAAGAATTTTCTCCCCAGTATCCAATCTGAACCTCCCCTGGCACAACTTGAGGCTATTTCATCTTGTCCTATTGTTTGCAACCAGGCAGAAGAGACAAGCCCTGACCTTGCTTCAACCTCCTTTCAGGTAGCTGTAGAGAGCAATGCAGTTTCCCCTCAGGTTCCTCTTTTTCAGGATAAACGACCCCAGATCCCCTAGACATTCCTCGTAAGACAAACCCTAGACCCTTCAAGCTTCACTGTGCTGCTCTGCACACACTCCAGCACCTCGAAGTCCTTGTAGTGAGGGGCCCAAAACCAAACACAGTGTTTGAGGTGCAGCCTCCCCAGAGCTATATACAGGAGAACAATCACTGCCCTAGTCCTGCTGGCCACACTATTCCTGACACTAGCCAGGATGCTGTTGGCCCTCTTGGCCACCTGGGCACATGCTGGCTCATATTCAGCCAGTCATCAACTAACATCTCCAGGTCCTTTTCCTCTGGACAGTTTTCCAGCCACTCTTCCCCAAGCCTGTAGCATTGCCTGGGGTTTCTGTGAACAGGACTCAATACTTGTTCTTGTGGAACCTCATACAATTGGCCTGGGCTCATCAATCCAGACTGTCCAGGTCCCTCTGTAGAGCCTTCCTACCCTTGAGCAGAACAGCACTACCACCCAACATGGAGTCACCTGCAAACTTACTGAGGATACACCCAATAATCTAGAACAGATAATTGATAAAGATATTAAACAGAACTGGCCCCAACACTCAGCCCTGGCAAACACCACTCACGACCAGCCACCATCCAGTCAGTGTTTTACCCAGTTTTATCCAGGAGAATGCTGTGGAAAACCAAGTCAAAAGGCTTCACTAATGTCTAGGTAGATAACATCCACATACTTTCCCTCATCCATTAAGCACGTCACCTTCTCATAGCAGAACGTGCCTTTCATTAACCCATGCTGACTGGGTCTGATCACTTGGTTGTCTTTTACGTTGCTACCTGATGGCACTCAAGATGATCTGCTCCATAATGTTCTCTGACACCAAGGTCAGACTGACAGGCCTGGAGTTCCCCAGATTGTCCTTCCAGCCCTTCTCGTAAATTGCCATCATGTTTGCTAACCTCTGGTCAACTGGGATCTCTCTGGTACCCAGGACTACTGACAGATCGATGAAAAGTGGCTTGATGAGCACTTTGCCAGCTCCCTCAGTACATCTGGATGGATCCCATCCAGCTCCATAGACCTGTGTGTGTCTAAGTGGTGTAGCAGGTAGCCAACTATTTCCCCTCGGATTATGTAGGCTCCATTCTGCTCCTCATCCCCATCTTCAGGTCATCTGTGCTTCCCCCCAGCATTCAGTAAAAGATGGAGATCCTCCTTAGCCCTCCTTTGGTTGTTAATGTATTTGTAGGAACTGCTTTAATGTCTTTTATGGCAGTAGCCAGATTCCATTCTAGTTGGACTTTGGCTCTTCTAATTTTCTCCCTACACTGCCTAACAACATCTTCATAGACAGGTAACATTCAGATATACAGAACAGTTTTCATAAACTACGCTTTGATATACCTACTTTTATATGGCCATTGTTGCTTTCCTCTCTTACACTGTTCCTTGGTTGAAGATCAGGTCTTCCTTTATCTTCTTGAGGGGGCAGCTGTGTTTTCAGAGAGCCTCTAACTTCAGTAGCGTGTGCAGGCTGACCTCCTTCCGGGGGAACAGACTGATTGTGTTGCGAAATTTGTTGCACATTTGGCAAGTTGCCAAAGGATGACTGCACTATTTGCATTAAACTCATGAAGTTGATCTGCTGTAGCTGGATACACAAACACACAAACTTAACAACTTCAACAACAGCATTAGCAAAAATGCTACCTCTAGGCTGATCTTGTGAATGTAAGTGACAAAATAACATCCTAGAGTTTCAATAATGATTCATTTGTATGACTGTTTGTTGTACTGGTCTTTCTTTTAAGATACATTAAATACCTGCAAGGAATTTGCCAATTTTGTTATAGACAATTTTTTGTGAAGTCTGAGTAAATTTAAGGCCACAAAAAATTGTCTCAATGTAATAGCAAAAATTAAATCCTACCTTAGCTGCAAAGTTATTACATCTTCAGAATTTTTCCTAATCTATATTATTAGAGGACACTGAGTTACGTGAAGTAAAACATACTCAGACTTCTATTATTGCATTACTAATTTTCTGAAGTCAAAAGTAAGAGTTAAGTCTAAAGTAAGTTTTCACAGTAGTTTAAGTGGATCAGGAAATGTCTTTAAAAGAAGCAATTATCTCCACAGTTTTAAGTAGCACAGTTTGTACTGTGAACTCTACTTTCAATAATGAGATGTGCTCACCTGAACTAACTTGAACATTTCATCTTGGAGCATCTGCCTGACAGTTTCTGATGTGTTTAATCTCTCTTCTGCAGGGAATTCTTCCTTGACATCTTGCTTCTTTGTACAAATGGACGGAGTGGAGAAAAGACTTGACGCTGTTGACTCAACAGTCTGAGAAGGCTGACCATCACTTAGAGAAATCTCTCTATTACTTGGGAAGGAAAAGCACAAAGCTATTAAAAAATTCATAGTTCAGAATACTTATATGACATCATCTTACATAAATCCAGAAAATTTTAAAGATATCTTCATTTTTCTAAGGCATAATTACTTAATAGGAACAATTTAATAATTAACATTGCAATCTTCATTGTAGAGTACATATGACATCTTTATTCTGATACTCCCGTAATATATAGAATGAAAAACAGAGTTTGCAGGTACAGTATGTAATACTTGCAAATGTTTTGTAATAAAATCTACACATCATGTTACTTCAAACCAAAAATTTAGTAAAGATAGTCCATTTTTTAATTATATAAAACATTACAGGTTAATCTTACCTGGGAACTTTTGCATCTTGTTCTAAAGAGGCTGAGTGAGAATTGGTGCCAGTAGCAACCTTAATCACACTATAAAGGAAGAAAAAATAGTAAACACCACAATAATTTGTTAAGCAGTTGATTTTAATTTTATATACATCTACGTGTGTGCGTGTGTATGTGTGTATAAAAGCTCTGGGAAAGGCAGTTTAATTAGTGTGCAATAGAATACCTGAAAACCACCTGATCACAGCTATACTGATCTGCATTGTTTCCACTACTGCAATACAATGCAATTAGAGTTGGCAAATACTGGCATTCATTGTTTGTCTCCCTAGCAATCAGAACCTGACTCAAACAAAAGCACTGAAAAGGTTCTGGCTATTCAACACAAAGTGCAAGCAAAAAAGAAGTTGATCTAAGTTGATTAGAGAAGAGAAAATCCAATACTCTTAGAATCATTACAATATGCATTCTTAAAAAAGAAAAGCCAGTACCATAAGAAATCCTTGAAGACCATTTTATGTGCAGTATTTTTGTTTCTTTCCAAGTAAAACTGTATCAGTTTCACATAGTAGACGATTCAAAGTCTTTCTAAAAATCAACCATTTATGTTTTACACAAACACTATATATACACAGAGATATTTATTCATATGACATAACAATTTATAAGATTTTTTAAATATTAAGACATTCAGATAGTATATCAGAGGATTACTACAAATTTTGTGGCATCTAGAAAAATGCTAAGTGAAATAATAAAAAACAGAATTATATTTGTCTGTCATTAAAACAACTGAAAAAAATCTCAAGGGACCAAGATTCCTCCTGGAAAATACAGTAAACCCTTTGTTTACAGAATATAGAATTTCTTCCCTTTAAGAACTTCAAAGAAATCAAACTCAACAGTAAACTATTCAAACAGATGATGGGACCAGCAGGCTTATGGTCTGTTCCTATAATTTTGTATACTATATATTTTATATAGTATAAAACTAGAGCTATTTTAAAACATGAAATTTTAAAAGGATCATAATGAAGGAAGTCCCTTATTTTGTGTAAAATACCTCCTTCCTTCTCTCTTTCAGAAGCTAACAAGCTCATCGCTCATATTCATTTTTATCTCATCTTCTGCTTCCTAGACACCAACCTCTACTTCTTCCATGCTGTGTAACTAACTTAAAACTTTGTAGAACAATCAGACACTGGATTTAGCCAGAAGATGGTAATCCTATTTCAGGTCTGGAGAAGCAGACCTGAAATAGGAGCTTTTCCAGTTACTCTCGATCCTTTTCCTAGATATAAAATGCAGCTTCCCATAACACACACCTCTTTTATTTGATTATTACTAAAATAACTACTCATCCATCCAGCATGTCCTATCTGTGAAATGCCTGTACATGTGAAACAGAAGATAACAAAACAATCTGTTTCCAACTGTGAGCTGTTGCTATAAACAACAGCAAGAATCCATTGAGACTTCACTGGATACCATAACTAACATAACTACTTAAGATTTGTAAGCAAAGTTTAAAAAGAAATTGAAACAACCAAAAAAAGTCTCTCACACATTCTGCTGAGCCTCTCCTTTTGTTTTTTCAGCCTTTTGATCTTCCTGGGGACTATCTATGTCTGAAACAGAAACCACCTGGAAAATAAAAACATGCATCTGAACTTGTAAATGTTTACAACTTCCTTCTGATTCATGAAGTATTACATTAATAGCCCTAAGGAAATTATACTTTTGATTAATTAGTCACTTGAAAAAATCTAACTGAAAAATAATAAAAATTACACACATTGGAGGACAGCTATAAAGCAAAAATAAGGAGATATCCTCATAAATTAACTGTGCATCTTTCCAAATCATTATTTTCAAATTCATATCCTTAGATGACCCTGGAAATACACTCTGCTAATATCCCACTCCCTAGGTAAAAATGAAAATGTGGAAACAACCCTATTATACACTATCTACAAACTAAGAAATTGACACAAATGTAGGACTTTACACAGGGTACAGAATGACTATAGTAAAATGCATTGTAGAACTGAAAACCACAATACATTTTTTGTTTCTAATCCCATGAAGAGAACTAAATCTAGAGCACTACAGGCAAGCAAACCGATGGCATTGCAACTCACATTTAAGCATAACAGAATCGTACAATATGCTGCGTTGGAAAGGACCCACCAGGATCACCGAGTCCAACTCCTGTTCCTGTATAGGGCACCCCTAGCCCTTAGCCAATTTTAAAAAAGCAGACTGATGACCAAAGATGATGCATGAAAAAGCAAGGCTCATTTACAGATCCAGACTGAGTTTTCAGACAGAAGTAAAATAAACATCTTTGTATTTTTAATTTAAAAACAACAAAGCATGCAAACAAGTATTAGTGTCTTTACTTAATCACCTGTGACTACTCACTCCTGAGACATTACACATTTTTTAAGAAAGTAAAAAGTTGTTAATACAACAACAAACAGACATGAAAATCTACACCATTATGCAGAAGACTATCTGGTTTGGTTTTTTTATTTACATTATTTTCTATATATGTGTGCATAAATAATCTTAGATACTTATATGTAGTGTTATACATTATACAGATTTAATATTACATATGTTATACTTTATACATAGGCATACACACATTCAGTTCTACAAAAAATGAATCCATTTTCAAAAGTGCTTCCAGCGAATCTGACTTTACTACTGTTTAATTATGTGACTTCTATTAGTGACTTCAGCAAGAATAAATCCACCAATCTTAAATGCTACAAGCCTTCAATTTCTTAAGTATGTTGAGGAATGCAGGATACTTCCAAAAGAGTATTCATAGTAACTTAACGCTTCTGTGCAAGATAGTAACTTGCCTTTCCTCCTTGATGGTCCAAAGGTTTGATCTTGATAGAGCTACTGGTGCTCTTTGGAGTTTCAAATGGCTCCTCAAAGAACTCTACAAAATAAGCACGATTACTCTAAATAAGAAAACAACAAGACCTACAGCACTGTTATGTGATTCCTGTTAGCTGGTCACATTAGTACAACTTTCCCTAGTGAAGAGAAACATGTGAGAGGTCTCATGGTAAACTTGACCTACACATACTCAGCACTTAGAATTTTCAAATCACATTTTACATAGTTGCATGAATATGTTTGGAATGAAAGTAAGAGAATGATTTACGTTAATATGCATTATCCTATCTCTATAGCAAAAATAAGTTACAAGAACTGTAACAGGAATTATGTTATAACACAAAGAAGATAAAATACTAATTTGAAATGAAGAAAACTTATTTCCATTTTTTAATTAAATAAACAGTAGGGCATATAATCTTATTCAGGCAAAACGAATGTTTTATATGTCAGAACATAGTGAAAGGATATAGCATAAAAACAAACCTCTTTCTGATGTTACATCTAACTCCTCCTGAACAAATGGTCTCACTTCATTAAGATCTTCAGTCATGTGAGGTACAGGATAACTCCCATCATTAATTTCCTTCTTATTATAATATTTTGGCTTAGTAGACATTCTGGTAATTGGAATTGCAAAAGGTAATTAACAACAGAATACACATATCTGACTTATTTTGAGTACGCTGTTCTCTCAGATTGCAAGACAGTGCATAATTGTCAAATAAACACTGCTGTGATATAATTCATGTTCAAATACATTTTCTCTCTGAATTGAACTTAAACCAAGATAGGTACAAATATTTTGGTGGCATTAATGGTGTAATCTTTCAGATGGGCTGCTTCAAGAAAAATGTAAACAACACCAGATCTAATAAAAATGGAAAGCATAAACTGTATCATGACTTCAAAATAATCTGGTTAAGATTACATTAATCTCTCTCACAGAAACTTCCTTTAATTGAAAAAAAAATAAAACCTCAGAGAAGACACATTTTTTTCAGAATACTGATAGCAAAGATTTTTCGTTTCAGGCAGCAGAAGATGAAAAGTCACAAGAGACATCAGGTTAAGGAATCAACATCTTCAGAACTGTCTAAAATATTAACAAATATTAAAACTTACTTACTTACAATACAAAACTTACTGCCTTAACAGTGCATTTTTCCAACATGTACACATATGAACACAGCTAAAAATACACTAAAGTTGTTAACGCTCATCTCAACACCAAGAAAATCACACTAAAGAGAGTGCAAGTTATTTCAGTTCTTTGAGAAAACAATTAAATTGGAAATCTAGATTTCCATTTCCACATCGCTAAGTTAATAAACAACCATGTACAATTCACTTTTATGCAACAGCTACATTGTTTTCTACTTACAGGTTTGTCTGCTGATGAATATTTAATCTGCTTCATGCAGCTGTAAACAGTATGCATGAGCTTGACTTTGAACTCAAAATTAAATATGTATATAACATGTAGTAACAACTGAACTATTATAGTGATATGCTGCATTGTTGAGGAATTATAAAAAAATAGAATTCATACATTAAAAAAAACCAACATTACCCAAAAACAACTTCACAAAGATCAGAGGGTTGTACACTCTGGACATCAGGCAGAGGACTGACCAGTACGGAAGAGCCTTCATCTGTACTACTTTCTTTCTCTGTCCTAGACTCGGCTTCTGATACAGACGCAGATTCTTTCAGATACTGATTATCCAGACTCTATTAATAATAATAATAATGAAAATTCCGTAGTTAAAAAAAGATAGCTGATACTTACAAAAATCCAGAATTATTTGACCTTGTATGTTTCTTCTTAACTTCATATCCTTTTCTCTATTAATCTCTCTATTATTAAGATGAGAATTTCTGGATTTACAGTTGCCAGTAGAATGTGAGTTTTGCCCCTTTTTGCATCTAGTGAAGGAATAGTCTCTGAATTATCCAAAGGACATGCAAGAGAGATTTTGTCAGCTTGCCTGTGACAGATGCCATGTGACAATTAAATACCCTCTGTACAAACATATACAGTAAGATTTGCCCTTCATCAACTGTATTGCAAAACTCTAACATAATCCCTGAAGACATTACATGAGGCAAAAAGCTACATATAATAATGTAGTCAGAGGGACACACGAAGTTTTGGCAGTAAATTGTAAATAAAATACAGGTGACACTTGTCAAAAAAACAAAATACAAGCCAAAATCAAAATCTATTTTGATCTGGGAGAAAAATCTCAAAAAACCCTCAAAACCCTCTCCCTCATAGCCTTTCATGTAGACTTAATTAAAGAGGGTAAGTGATTCAGTTGTCCCTAAATATAAAATAAAGCAATACTCATCAGGTTGTTCTGGCAACTGTCTTCTTTAATAACACATATTCTCCAAATCTGTGTAACAGCACAAGACAAAAATAAAAATTAAAAACTCACTTTTCACCAATCTTTAACTAGTTTAAATACTCCAGTCAAACTGCACCTGCACTGTCCTCAATGACAAATGAGTCTAAATTCAAGTCTCCCCAGATAAACCTCTTTCTTTATTCTTTGTCTTGTTTTTCCAGACTCTTATCTCCAATACTAGGTTTCTTCAAAGATGATGTCTTAAGCTAGAAAGAATGGTTGAACTTGTAGGAATTTGTTCAAATAATGTGGTATTTAGATAACCTAGTCAGATTTTGAAGTGGACTTCCAAAGACAACTTTAATCTTAAAGCAAAGTCTTCCCACAGACAGAATTCCAGTTGTCCTGGAATGTTTCAGCAGCCCCTAAAGGAAAGTCTATCGATCAATATTCCAGGTTTTACCGAGAACAGAACTATGTTTCATTGACACTTTCTCTCACATTCTCTTTCTTACCTTGTATTTTATGCTCTTCGCTTCAGTTCCATCTCTGTAAAACTGCTCTAATAGCCACAAAGAAGTAAGGACCGCAGCTGCTGATGTCTTCACGTGTATCATAGGGAAAATCTCTTCTAAGGAATCTTGTTTATTGGAATGACAGAGCAGTCTCTGATCAGACCATCTGATCATCCACTCAAGCAATTTTGCAATATTGTTCAACTTATCCATCAATTCTATAGCTAGTTCTTCTCCTGGTAGAGTATCAACTACATCAACAGTTTTGTAAACGTATTTACAAGTTGCCTCAGTTTGCAGGCTACAGAAAGTATGGATAGGAAAGGTCTGGCTTGCTGGTGCAACAGTGACTCCTTGACTGTCACTCTGAGCTCTGTAAATTGATCTGTGCTTTAAACCAAATAATCCTTCATTAAGTCCTTTCATAATGTTATGCAGAGAGGGTTCTGTTGTCTGCGCAATAGTTGGATTTTTCAGACTATTTTGGTTTTCATTATAGCCAGACTTTGCTTCAGGATCAGAAGATGCCACGGTTACAGTATAGCAAGACCCTGCTCTAAAGACACTTTGGCTTCTAGTTTTGGCTTGTCGACGTTTTAGTGTTGTATGGACATCAAAAAAGAGAGAGTTTAATTCATGTTCCCTAAGAAGTTCAGAAAAGCTAGTAAGAAATGGAACTCCAAGGTCACTGTACTTTATCAGATCTCTCTCAAGAACATAACTCAAAAAGAGTTCTAAAAAAATAACGTATTCATCATCATCTCGTTCAAATTCCCAAGCACCAACTATAGGCAAATTACATTGATTATGCATGCCTTTTCCATATACTTTGTCTTTATGGTTTGTTTTCCAGATAAGAGCTTTTGTCATGCACGTGGTATTTTTGTTCCCTATTTCTTCTTGTCTCTGATGTTCATTATCCCTGTAAGACAACAAACGTAAGTACTCTTAATGCCAAAATCCATTTTAAGAAAAATTAAATGAAAAAATAAAGAAATGCAACTTAAGTTCCTGTTCTTCCTCAATTATTGAAAATATAAAATTAACAAATGCAGATTTACCCTAACATAATGTTAAGGTAGTAAATTAATCAAATGCAAAATCCATAGTCTTTACAAAGACAACTCAGTATTATCATATATGAATGTGGTCATCGCTGATAATAACTCCAAGTGACAATTACCTTGTTTAGTGAAAAGATTACTTAAAACAGTAAGAGACAACTTTTTATTTTTTATTTCAATAGAACGCTTTCTGTTGCATTTTTTTTCATACCTTTGGAGTGACGGTGTTTGAGCTCTCGTTTCTTCAGCAAACAAAGCATCAGAAAGTGTATCTGCTGTGTCAGCATCACTATATACCTGAGGATTTCCAAGATCAGTAAGTGTGCTTCTGCTTAGACTAGTGCCTAATGAGAATCCCTCATAACACTGTTCCTCATCATCTGCAGCTCCTTCTTCCACTGGCTCCCAAATATTAATTTCTATAGGGCCTATGTTCCTTATTACACGTCTTAATGAGCTTGTTCTCACTTTTTCCATAGCGTCTAAAACAGCAGACATCATTTCTTCACTTTCAGGATCTAGTGAAAGAAAGAAAACCAGGAGATTTTAAATAAAAATTTCTCAATTTTTCCAGTTTTCAATCATCTCTGAAATTGAGATATGAATTAACTTTGAATCATCATAAATAATGGCATTTAGAAATACAGACAGAAATTGTGACAGAGTGAAAAAACATCATCAACGTGGAAGTAATGATGTTATACTAGTGGTATAGACATACCAGAACAAAACCAGAGAATTTGCTACAAAACTCTCTCAGATTTGTCTAACTGAAAACTGTAGTCATTATTTTGCATGGGGTATGAAAGAAGGCATTCTCACAAGTTAATTTGTTATGCAGGGTAAAAAAGAAAGTTCGTTTAGGGTTGCTGAAAAAAGACGCACATTACCTCTTACAAAACTGTGCCTGAGTCGCTGCTGAAGTGCATGGTATTTATCTCTTAGTGCAACTCTTATATCTTCAGGATTAGGAAATGCTTTTACGAAAATCTCTGCCACCTACACAAAATAAAGTAATTTTCAAGTAGGTAAGACAGAAGTAAGGTATATTTTCCAACAGAACTAACACCACTGAGATGTCTAACCAGCGGCTTTTATAAGAAATATTTGTGATAATTGCTCTTACTTTTGTTCTTTTAGCTCTAATGTCTTTTACCTTTTTCACTGGTGGCAATTCTCCAAGCAAACTCAAAATTATATCTTGAACTAATTCTTCAGCATTCATGAATCTGCAGAATGGAAGCATCCGACAAGCCCACTCCACTGCATTCAGACAATGCTCAACAGTGGAGGCATCATACTCATTCTTCGTCAGATCCTAAGAAAAAGACCTTACTGTAGAAAAATTAATTGATATGAACAATACAGTTCATCAAAATTTTTCATGCATTGCAAATTGCAATGATTCTGCCTTAGACAACAAAAACCCAAAAATATCTAACTGAACTGCCCAGTAGAGAAGCATATGATTTTAGGAGCCAGATCAAGGTTGTAATGGACCACAACTTGTATCAAAAAAAATAATAAATAGGATTTTTTTAAAACCAGTTCAGGAAATAATTCCGTTAACAGTCTGCTGTAGAGTCTGTTTAATGGTAGTTTGAATAAAACTTGAGGATTTGTCTAAGCTAGCTGTAACTGAGTAAATATACTGAAATACCAGGTAAAGTAAATCATTTCACTGTGACTTAAGGTGATCATAAACTGTTTCTTGACAGTAAAGTATTTGAGCCAGGCCAGAGGCTTTTAAGATGGAACTGTTTATTTTGAAAGTCTGTGGTTTCTATCTCATCAAAGAATCATAGAATCATAGAATCATAGAATCTTAGGGGCTGGAAGGGACCTCGAGAGATCATCTAGTCCAACCCCCCTGCCAGAGCAGGGTCACCTAGAGTACATCACACAGGAACTCATCCAGGTGGGTTTTGAATGTCTCCAGTGAGGGAGACTCCACAACCTCCCTGGGCAGTCTGTTCCAGTGCTCTGTCACTCTGACAGTAAAAAATTTTTTTCGGATATTCACCTTGAATCTCCTATGCTCCAATTTACACCCATTACCCCTTGTCCTATCACTGGTCATCACCGAGAAAAGCCTAACTCCGTCCCCCTGACACTCACCCCTTACATATTTGTAAACATTGATGAGGTCACCCCTCAGTCTCCTTTTCTCCAAGCTAAAGAGACCCAGCTCCCTCAGCCTTTCCTCATAAGGGAGATGTTCCACTCCCCTAATCATCTTCGTAGCTCTGCGCTGGACTCTTTCGAGCAGTTCCCTGTCCTTTTTGAACTGAGGGGCCCAGAACTGGACACAATACTCCAGATGTGGCCTCACCAATGCAGAATAGAGGGGGAGGAGAACCTCTCTTGACCTACTAACCACACCCTTTCTAATGCACCCCAGGATGCCATTGGCCTTCTTGGCCACAAGGGCACATTGCTGGCTCATGGTCATCCTCCTGTCTACCAGGACCCCCAGGTCTCTTTCACCTACACTACTCTCCAGCAGTTCAGCCCCCAACCTGTACTGGGACATGGTGTTGTTCTTCCCCAAATGTAAAACTCTGCACTTCCCCTTGTTGAATTTCATCATGTTTCTCCCCGCCCAACTCTCCAACCTATCTAAGTCTCTCTGAATGGCAGCACAGCCTTCTGGTGTGTCAGCCACTCCTCCCAGCTTAGTGTCATCAGCAAACTTGCTGAGGGTACATTCTATACCCTCATCCAGGTCGTTGATGAAGATGTTGAACAACACCGGTCCCAGTACCGACCCCTGTGGGACTCCACTAGTCACACACCTCCAACCAGATTCTGCCCCATTGACTACAACTCTCTGACTCCTTCCTTTCAACCAGTTCCTAATCCACCTCACTTCCTGATCACCAAACCCATACCTGATCAACTTTTCTACAAGGATGCTGTGGGAGACGGTGTCAAATGCTTTACTGAAATCAAGATAAACCACATCTACCGCTCTACCATCATCTATCCACCTAGTAATTTCCTCATAGAAGGCTATGAGGTTAGTCAAACATGATTTACCCTTGATAAAACCATGCTGACTGCTCTTGATGACCCCCATGTCCTTGATGTGCCTGGAGATAGTCACAAGAACAAGTTGTTCCATCACCTTTCCAGGGATGGAGGTGAGGCTGACCGGTCTATAGTTACCCGGGTCCTCCTTCTTGCCCTTCTTGTAGACTGGAGTGACATTTGCTATCCTCCAGTCCTCAGGCACCTCACCTGTTGCCCATGACTTACTGAAGATGATGGAGAGTGGCCTAGCAATGACCTCCGCCAGCTCCCTCAGCACCCTTGGGTGCATTCCATCTGGACCCATTGATTTATGGATGTCCAGATTACTCAACTGATCCCTAACCCAATCCTCATCTACCATGTCAAACTCTTCCTCTATCTTGACTTCTTCTGGGGCTATATGAATCTGGGGCTCATAGGGAGACCCTGCAGGAGTGAAGACAGAGGCAAAGAAGGCATTCAGCACCTCTGCCTTCTTTATATCCTCTGTCACCAGGGCTCCCACCTCATTCCTCAATGGGCCAATATTGCCTCTACTGCTAGTTTTGCTAGCTATGTATTTGAAAAAGCCCTTTCTATTATCCTTAACCTGACTTGCAAGGTTAAGTTCCAAGGAGGCCTTAGCTTTCCTAATTGCCTCCCTACATCCTCTGACAACAGTCCTATATTCCTCCCACGTGACCAGCCCCTCCTTCCATGATCTGTAGATTTTCCTTTTCCACTTAAGTTTGCCCAGTAGTTCCTTCTTTAACCATGCAGGTCTCCTAGCACCCTTACTAGATTTCCTAACCATTGGGACACTCTGATCCTGTGCTTGCAAGAAGTGGTCCTTGAATGTTGACCAGCTATCTTGAGCTCCTTTATTTTCTAGCACCCTGTCCCATGGGATTTCCCTTAATAGATGATTGAGGAGACCAAAGTTTGCCCTGTGGAAGTCCAGGGTTCTGGTCCTGCTGGGTATTTTGTTCCTTCCACACAGGATATGTACTCATATAAAATCTGTTTTGTTGTGATTACATCAGCTCAGTTAAGATTTTATTAGCATTTAAATTCTATCACCATGCCTTACAAATTAGGTAGTTAATATTGTACAAACAAGGCAAACAAATAATTATCTTACTGTATTGCTTAATAATCTACCTGGTCTTCTGACATTTTTCAAAAAGAATTTTCAGCTTCAGTACAATACATTTTTTTTCTACTATGTTCTTGTTTGTTACACAGTTGTCAGGCTTTTCACTCTCAGTCTATCCTTCTTTCTCTCTTTCTTTACCTTTCTTCTTTTAGATTCTGTAGTATTGCTACATTAAAAGAGAAAGCAAGGAGACTTGCTATTAAGGGGAAGAAATTCAAAGTAGAGTGAAAAGTCATAGCAGTACTGTGAATAATTAGAATGCAATGATTCTTTGAAATATAAATATGTGTAATTTTGTAGGAGTGTAAAATGGTTTGGTTTTTTTGTCCCTTGTTTTTTCTTTCTGGGTTTCAGTGTTTAGGAGTAAGGTAGGACAGGTAACAGCTTCTGTTGTTCAAATTTAAAAAAATGGAAGAGAATATTTCAGATTATCCCATATTTTGTTTTATTTTTATTTTTCTATTATAACCACTTATTTATTTGTTTATTTGTTTTATCTAAATGTTGCATTTTAAAATGCTTTTAAATTCCCTCTTTCAGAGGTTTACCTTTTCTGAATTCACAGCTCAGCAAATCTGCAGGAATTCAAAACTGTTTCTCTACCACCACATTTGTTTTTATTATGTATGTCTTCAAAAAGAGGTTATTCTAAACATTACAGATTTACCTATGGATAAGAAATCATGAGTTATAATATTATCTTTTCCAATCCTTTCAGTTCTCAGTTTTCTCAGTCTAGCCTTCTCTTTGACTCAAAGATTCTTCCAAGTTTAGTCCACATTGAAACTTGTTCTGGTTCTTCTACTCCAGAACACTTTACCTATCTCTATTTTTTCCTGTATTTTCTTTATTTTAGAAATTCTCTATTCAGTCAAATCATATATTTGCTCTTCTTACAGCACTGCTTTTCTTTAGGTTCCACTGTAAAATCATTAAAATAAGAAGCTTTTAAAGGCCTTTCAATAGCCCTTGGAAAAGGTCCTATGTATATATTTTGGGGGAAAACCTCCCAAAATCTGCATGGAGTGTTTAGACCCTATGTAAAAAAAAAAAAGGAAAAAAAAAAAATAAGTCTTGAAGGCTGCTTTCTCTATTCTCTGTTCTAGAGAAGTAAAAGCATGGTCCTTTCTTTGGAAAAGAGAGGAGAAATTGATGAGAATTAAAAGGCCTGTTCTTAGCAAAATCTTAGCAGGTCTTCAAAAACAGCTCAAAGGGGAGTTTTTTTACTGATTTATGTAAATAGAAAGGCAAAGTTGTCAGAAGCCCAATACAAAATATGGAGTAATTCTCTAATGGCCCTCAGTCTTGCAACCTCCTCTGTCAGCTCAACCACCTGCCTGAGGAGATCATTTACTTGCTCACACCGCACACATGCGCTGTCACTGGTTCCCTCTGATACCAGTGCCAGACTCAGGCATTCACTGCAGCCAGAGACCTGCACTGCTGCGTGCCTGCTTGGGAGCTCCGTCTGAGTCCCCACATTCTTTTTCACAATAGTTTTTGGCCGCGTTATGACCATGATCAATCTAGTTACTAGTCTGCTTTTCCTAGGATGAGAAGGCACCAGCTGCTCCCTGCCTGCCCTCGTGCAGCTCTCTGCCTCTCCGCCTGCCCTCGCGCCTGCCACGTGTCTCCTCTCCGCAGGCCGCTGCCGCTCTCTCTTCTGCGCTGCCGCGTGCAGCAGAATCTTAAGGGTTGGAAGGAACCTTTGGAGATCACCTAGTGCAACCCCTCTGCCAGAGCAGGATCCCGTAGAGTAGCTCACACAGAAACACATCCAGGTGAGTTTTGAAAACCTCCAGAGAAGGAGATGCCACAACCTCCCTGGGCAGCCTGTTCCAGTGCTCTGCCACCCTCACAGTGAAAAAGGTTTTCCTCATGTTTATGTGGAATCTCCTATGCTCCAGCTTGTACATGTTGCCCCTTGTCCTACCATTGTACATCACTGAGAAGATCCTGGCCTTGTCCTCTTGACACTTGCCCTTTACATATTTATAAACATTAATGAGGTCACCCTTCTGTCTCCTCCAAGCTAAAGAGACCCAGCTCCCTCAGCCTTTCCTCATATGTAAAAAGTTCCACTCCCTTAATCATCTTTGCGGCTGTCATTTGTCACTGTAATGCACAGGAAAAACAGAATATTCCACTATCTGAGTTGATTCTTCTGGTGAAGAGAAACCTTGGCCTTGTTTTGAAAAGGAAGCAACCTTTGCTAAGGACAGCTGTGTTGCTGGAATAGATAAGACAAAAATAAACATCTGCACTGTTACAGAAAAATATCATGCTAGTAGTTACTTGCTTCTTTTTTGATCTCTAAGAAGAACTGATGAGGGTTTAAGTAGAGAAAACTTGATTAAATTGTAATACTTTTCATTATTCTATTTGAAAATAATGTATATTTAACACAACCAGAAACTCTTTTTTAGTCCATTAAATATATATTGGTCAGGAAACAGTAAAAATCTCTTAATTTCATGGAAAAAAGTAAATCATTAGGCAGACAAGAAAAAAAGAAACAATTACCCTTCAGGCAGCATCTCTTCAATTATCTGAGTTATATACCAAGCAGAAGCTCAACCTTCAGAATTCTTCTTACAGCTTCATGCAGTTAAAATGTACCTTTACTGAATTAGTAATATAATTACCTCATGATTGTTAATGTTTTCCCTTGCAGTTTGGTACCGCCGACAGTTGTCAGATAACCTTTCACGAACGTGGAACATCCAACACAATGCACACAGCTCTCTGAACCAACCTATGACACAAACATGGAATATGGTGAGATTCTATTCAAATAAATGGAATTCAACAGCTGGAGATTTTTAGATCGGAGATAAAATGTTAATTCCTAACAGAAGTTAAAAGAAAATAAATACTCATTGAGTGCTCTGCAGCTAGAGCTCTACAGTCTCACTTAGTGTTCATTATCTTTGACATGTCAGATCTGTAAAACACACAGCTCAGAACAGGAAGTTTTCAGATTAAGAGTTTTGATAACTAACATAAAAGCTGCCAAGATAATGTGTTTCTGCATAGATCATAGTACACTGTTTCAACTAATATGAGTTTCTTTGCACTTGTGACTTCTCAGTTGTGTTCAGTTTTCTAGCTCTCTTTTATTGTACACAGACCTAAAATTTTACAGTTTATATCATCAAACTGATGGTCTCCAAAAGATGAAGATGCATGGAAAACGGTGTGGAACTTGGAGTAACGGAGCAAAGTCTCTGGAAAGGGACTCAGCAAAGGAAGAGATCCTTTCATTCGAATCTGTGGACAGTAAAAATAAATAAATAAATGAAAATGGAAAGAAAAATCAGTTAAAGCTTTGCAAATATTACTATTAAACATATAGCCTCTCTGTTATTAGAAGAAAACTGCCAAGACCAGCACAATTCCCTAAAGTTTACTTTCAATTTTTTTCAAACCAGTATTCTGAAAATTCCTTTAAAGGAATAATTTTAGTATGAGCTACAGCACAAAAAATGCTTGTTTGCATAGTACTCATAATACTCATTATTATGACAAAATACAAGAGTAACAAAGTTTAAGAAGAACTAAGAACACAATTAAGACAGCAGTTTAATCCAACAAAGCCCAGGCTACTGTTAACCAATGCAGACTAGTTTTCCCTCCTGTTTCAGCTGGCACCTCTGATCACCCTCTGTAACAGCATTAAGTGCAAAAGTGTGCAATGAGGAAACAGAAGGAAATACTTGTCAGGCAAAGGAGTTCCTGATCTGGATCACTGCATGAAAGCATGCAGGGAGGCTGACAGAAGGCAGACAGTCACATACACCCCTTTCTGTAGCAAGTTAACCTTCTTCAAGTGGCTATGTGTCAAGGACCTATGAAAAGCCTGCATTTATTTGCATTCAATATATTCTGAGCCTCATTCTGTGCAAACAAAATGCATGAGCAGAAAGAGCTCTTAAGATTCTCCTGCACTGTGCACTGAGATGACCACTTTACCTGAACTGAGTATCACATTCTCATGTTTTATATTCCACCCTTAGTGATCTGGAACACACTTTCGGTTAACAGCTGTAACTCTCAGTTTAAATCTGCTTGTTTCTTTCAAAGGGAGAAACTAAAATGTTTGTACATTAGCAAGTGGGTACAAAAAGACACGTAGAATAAGATTCTTTATGGAGTAGATACCCTATATCTTTAAGTTCTCATTTTCTAAAATAACTGAACATGCAGTGTAAAACCAGAAAATAACATGTAAAAAATTACATCAAAGTGCAGAATTGAGATTGAATGCTTCTGCAATGCAACTGCAAGCTTCTCAGTAAAATTTATGACTGAGAATCAAGTTACAAAAAAAAATGAAGTTAAATGCTTACTTTCTGCATAACTTTTCTCGTGTGCTTCAGTTGTGCAATATACCACTGTGCTGCAGGGTAGGAACAACAAGCAGCCCGGAAAAGCAAGATAATTCGCTGAAGAACTCCTGACACTTTCTGACGACTTTCTCTCTCAGTTTTTAGAAGAATATCATTGCAGTCTTCCTGAAAAATGCAAATTCAGAGACCAAAAAAAAGGCCCAAAATTAGAAAGGACATATAGATCAAGGAATCTGACTGAAACATTGCTTCTCCTAAGAATATTTTTCTTCCTCTTTAGAGCATAGACCCTTTATGGAAAAAACACAGAGACATGTGCCTACTTTCTTTTCACTTTGGTGCTAGTTAAGTAAATGCATGCACATGGAAAAAACAGGAAAATAGAGCTGAAAGGACCCAGATTAAAGATCCTGATTATTTCATACATACACACAAGCAAAGTCCCAAGAAGCATCTATCATGCATGCTTACTTCACTGAGAGAAGCTGGCTGAGGACAATACAATGGTGGTGCTGGAAGATAAAGCCCATCTGGAACTAAACCATACAGCTTTCTGCTAATATCCTTGGCAGAATCCATCAAAAGCTGAAATGTCTCTGACAGAATATCTGCATCTGCCATAACAGCTGCTTTCAGCAGTTCCTGTATTGAATGATAAAGAACATCTGCATCTTCCTCTTCAATGGGATCTATAAAATATTAATCATGGAAATCGATAAATTAGTTGACTCAACTCATACATTGCCTTCATTCTGAAAATACGAGGCTATGTTCTCAGAATCTGCATTAATCTACAACAGATACATAGCATCTACTTGCTCAAAGATGAGATCTCTCACACTGGAAAACAGTATTCCATCATTAATTTCAGGTTTTGCCACATTAAGGAGAAAGATATTGTTCTTCTAGATGGAGAACCGAGCATTTCAGCCATGCATTTGCTTGGCATAAAATTCTGGCAAATTATTCTTTCTAAGCAGGCACATAGGAGGTATACTACTACTACTACTAACTACAACAACTCTTGTATTAGTGATCAAGGGAAATATATATATTTGTCTCCTTTACATATTGTTATATTTTTTCTTCTCCTAAAAGTAGCAGGACCTTTAACATACATCATTTATTGGCTCCTGAAATTCGTAGTATTATAGTGTTAAATTTCCATGTATAGTCCTTCTGTTTGTCTTGAACTATGTGCTGCCAAATCTTTCTACTACCTATCATACTTACAGACTGTTATATATATGACAATATATATATATATGTGTGTGTTTGGCGTAAAATCCTTGGAAATAAGTAAAAAGGAAGAATTTACACAGTGTTTGGTATATGATTCAGATAAAGTTTAATTCACATCCACCTTCTGACAGGGACTCGAGAAGTGGTTTCCAAACACACAAAAAGAGTCAGGAATAGAGAATGTGCCAGTAAAGTTTTTGTAAAATGCAAGCAAGGAAAGGTTGATTTAGCTAATTGAGGGAATTTCAGCAGTAAGGTATTAAGTTAGGTTATGTGATAAAAAGCTTGTATATGCACACACACAAAAGCATAGAGACAACAGCAAGTGGGAACCTGAATTTTTCTTTGATCCATCTGTTCACAGCAGAAAAAATCACCCCATGAAAGGTTCAACTCCACAAGCCCACAGGTGCACACAGCAAACTAGGTACTCAGAGAAATGGACACCCTATGGCTCTTTCTAGGACAGTGTCACAGTTTGACTCAGGTCCGACAACAATGCTCTCGATCCCCCCTCTCCCCAACCCAGGTAGGGAAGGAGAGAGAGAAAAAGAGAGAGACTTGGCTGGATTGAAAACTAAACTACACAGCTTTAATTAAAACACTAATGAATCATACAAGAAAATATATACAATTATGTACAAATATATTCAGGTATGGGCAAAAGCCTCTCGCCTTCCCCCACCCCAGCAACTCCCACAGCACTTCCCTGAACTGGGAAGAGTCCTGAGGAATCCCGGAGCTGCTGCTGGAAAAGAGCAGAGAGTTATGGGGGCCAGGAGAGATCAAGCCCGAGGATCGACGGTGATGGATGAACAGAGTCCTCCCTGGACGCCGGCCATGGACGGAAGAGAAGGGAAAAAGAAAAAGGAAGGAAGTTGTCTTCTGTGATCTCTGACCTTCCTCTGAGCTTACGTAGATATATGGAATGGAATATCGTTGGCCAATTTTGCTGTCTGTCTAACTCAGACTCCTACGGGGGGGGTCACAGATCTCCCCATAGTGTCTGAGCTGGCAGAGTGCAGGTGCAGCCTTGAAGCCTCAGTAGTTAGAAAAACATTCCACTGTCTTATCAGCCTCACAGAACACACTGTTGCTAGTTACAAGAAAGCTTGCTGAAGGAAAAAAAAAAATCAGTAAAAAGAAAAATTGGCTTCATCGTGGCTCAAACCAGGACAGACAGCCATCAGCTCCAGCGTCAAGGTATGAAACCCACCAAGATCAGCTCTCTTCAGTACCTTTTGACTTGAGAGGGGTTACTGTCAGGAAGGATAGGATACATATTGCATGCAGGAGAAGAGCTTTCTTGGTACTGCACAAGACTTATGGTATCTTCTAAGAAAGAAATCAAAGGTACGTGATGGAGCTGTGGCAGCCTCACCTCTGTTGGGCTACATGTCTGTTATACTGGATGAGGGACTCTGTATCCAGTGTGTCTGTGTACCGGACTTCAAATTCCAGCAACTGCAGCAGGACCACAGGTCAGAAAGTCTGTGTGTCTGGGATGCTAGCAATTACAGAGACTGGAGTTAAGTCAAATTCAGTGCCAGCAACAGGAGTGGGACCACAAGTCAGAGTGCCCACGTATCCATAGTGCCAGCAACTGCAGCTAGTGAGGCTATGTAAAAGAATGTATGACTACTAACAGGTACCAAGTCAGAATAAATGACGAGATAATAAAGTGACGTGGGAGTTACGGGTGTGTACACCTAACTCGTGCAAGAGTGAGACCACAGGAGCTGACAGCGACTGGAGAGACTGGTGAACAGCTTGTGTGTCTGCATGTTCCAAAGGGCAAGACAAGGGGATTGGGATATTGGAGGGATGAAGGAAGACATGTGTAACTACCAAAAAGATGGTGTGTGCACAGGTGTGGGTGTCTCCAATGGTGAGGCACACAGAAAGACTGAGGTCCCCAGACCAGCTAGCTATCAGACAGACTGCACTCGCAAGGCCAGCTACTGTGGGGGAGCACAGACAGTGTGTGACTGGGTCTGTACCAGAAAATGGAGTGGGGTAGGGGCTTTGGGTGCTCAGATAGGCAGGCAATAGCAACTTGGGAGACTCAACTACAAGGTTTAAGCCCAGCTACTGAAGGGATCCACACTGTACGCATAGGTAAATATATTGAGAACTTAATCCTGACCAGCAAGAGATGGAAATGAGATGGGATTGTTGGTGTTGAGTGGATGTTGAGCAGATCTATAGGTGTTGGCCCCTGTGGCCAGCTGTATACAGGTGTTGTGTAGGTGGGTTTGGGTATGTGCCCACTGGGGATACACTCTTGGTCTTGCTAGCTGTTGGACTTGGTGGCATGGAGCGGTCAGGCCACGAGTTACCACCCACATCCCCTTGGAGAGAAAGCAAAGGCACAAATTAAGCAACATCATGTCTTGCCTACAGGAAAGCTGGGAAGGAGCTTTTCACCAGAGAAGGTAGAGATAGGACATGGGGTAATGTTTTTAAACTGAAAAGAGGGTAGATTTAGGTTACACAGCTGGAAGAAATTCTTCACCATAACGGTAGGAAGGCACTGGAAGAGGTTGCCTAGGGAAGTTGTGGAAGCCCCTTCCCTGGAGGTGCTCAAGGCCAGGTTGGATGAGGCTTTGTGCAGCCTGGTCTAATGTGAGGTGTCCCTGCTCATAGCAGGAAGGTTGGAACCTGACCTTCAAGTTCCTTTCCAACCTTAACCATCCTATGATTCCATGTAACAAATATTAAGTATAATGATTTTCCATACTGTTAATACATACACATTTGTTTCAGGAGTTTTTCCAAACAACTTAATACCAAATATAGCCAAACAAGGTTTTGGCCGATAACATTGATAACATGATCTGTTTTTAGAATGATCTAAGCAAAAACCCAAACCCCTATGAAGTATTTGAACATACTGTAACAGTAATGCACACACCGGAGGCAATTGTTTCTGTTCAAGACAGTGTATTACAGATCATGCAAGTGAACTAACATGAAAATAAATACAGTTATTTAAAACTGTACATACCTGTGAACTGCTTGTATTGAATACATCCTGGTGGTTCAGAAGTAACTGGCTGCCCTAACAAAAATTGTAACTTTTCCTGAAAAGTCTGCATTGGTGATAAGCTTAGAGGCAGTAAACACTCCGTGTTTTTCAATCTGAAAATATAACACGAAACTGTTATTAATGAAGTAAAATCCATAGATAATCTAATGCATCTCTGTTAAATTAATATCTAAGACCAAATAACTAATCTTAACGTGTTAGGTCCTATATCTGCTAGGAGTCTGACAATGCTTATTTTTGAGGCAAAGGATATGCCTTGTTACAATAAACTTCATGCAAATAACATTAATTAAAAAATATAGCATACTTATTCCAAGCTCAATTTTACCTTGAGAAGTCACTAGACTTCTGACAATACAGCTGGTAGGTCACACCAATGGAAACAGCCAGTTTCCAGTCCCCAAGTCTGTGTGTTAACCACACAGCCTCTGGAATGAGTCCACCAATAAAGAACAAATCAAGAGCATATTCAGCTGTCCACACAGACGAAAGGTTCTGGTCCCTGACAGCTCTGGTAACCAAAGAGTGTTGTAGTGGAATAACACGAGGAGATCGGTCTGTGACAACAAATAACACACTTTAAAGTTCACATAAATCTACATGCCATCAGATGAATAATCAAGTATTCATTTGTTCACATTACTTTTCACTTTATTAGAGGCACACCACGGGGTTTAACTGCAGCAGGCAGCTCATGCTGTAGTACAAAAGTGAGAGTCAGAGGAGGCTACTTTTCTTAAAAATGCAGGATATGTGTGCATGTGCAAAGTTTGTGGATTATTCTTATTTTAATGATTCAATCACATTGATGGAACATTTCAAAGTATGCTACACATGCTTAGGATATTCCAGAAGCTACATCTGAGAACAATGGGGATTCTGACACTTCCTAGTGTACACATGTTGTTTACACTCACTGTGCTGCTCATGGCAGAAGACAGAAAGCTACAATGCATTTTAAAGAAACAGCAGTATATTCTTTTAAGAGTGCATGAAGACAAACTGAAGACAAATTTACTATCTCCTTGTTTCTTGAAGTTTAGATTTGTTTACCAAGGATTTACTTCCTGGTTTTCCTGGAGAGATGGTGATCAACATTAACTTTAAGGAGTTATTTGCTTCTCTTGCAATATCTTTTTACTTTTGAGACAATGGCATTATTTGGGGAAATGTTCACACTAATCTAGCCTGTGTAATGCAATTTTTTCAGCATTGTCTCACCATGTACATGGATCTTTGACTAATGCAAGTATTAAAATCAAGATCTTATTTTGTAGGTTTTATCTGGAAAGTTGTCCAAAAAGAATATACGCAATACCATGAAAAAATATGTACCAGTTCATGCTGCAGTAGAGAAGCATGAAAAATAGTTAATATATGCAAATACACTGCAGAAAATTTAATCAATTAAAATAAGTTAATACAATAGAAAATACCTCACAATATAACATCAACGTAGTAGTACACTACTTACAATACTTCCAAGAAGCTTTTGAGTCCTGTGGACATTAAATCACTTCAAAAAATTAATTCTGAAACAAAAAAGTTCCTAACAAGGGAAATCTAATCAGAATCTCTTGCAGAAAATACATAAAACACCCATTATGATAACTACTAATTCTCAGGAAAAAATGCTGAAAATCAGAACTTAAACTAACAAGAAGTGCTTGGGTTCAGTAACAAACCAACTGGACACTCCCACTTGTTCTGATGATACAGTGTTTGAAGCACTTTCGTTTCCCTGAGCTTGACCGTCAAATAAGTAAAAAGTGCTTTCCTCTGACTTTTCAGTTTGGGTCACATGGTATCACAGATTCAACAATTCAACTAATTCTAAATCAATGTTTTTAATATCACTTTTGGGAGGATCAAAGTCAGTCAGTCACATCTTGAAGCATAAGTAGTGTAAGAACCGTGAAATTCTAATGTTGCTTAATGTAGGTGAAAAAATAAATCAATGTATTGGTAGGCAGTCCAGAAGGGCAAGAGAGTCCAGGAAGGCTGGACATTCTTCAAGAAGGGAATGTTTAAAGTGCAAGAACAGGTGGTCCCTGTATGCTGAAAGACAAGACAGAGGGAAAAGTTGAACAGAGAGCTTTTCGGCTGGAAGTCAGGAAAAAAATAGTGTTTATAGTCTTTGAAAAGACAGGGCAGGCATTTCAGGACTACAACTACCCAAAAGTATTGAGGGAGATGGCAAAGTGCTCACCAAACTGACTTCTATCATCTGTCAGCGGTCATGGGTAACCAGGGAGGTCCCAGTTGACTGCAGATTGGCAAACATTTACAAGAAGAGCTGGAAGGACAATTTGGGGAACTCCAGGCGTATCAGTCTGACCTTGGTGTCAGAGAACATTATGGAGCAGATCATCTTGAGTGCCATCAGGTAGCAACGTAAAAGACAACCAAGTGATCAGACCCAGTCAGCATGGGTTTATGAAAGACATATTCTGCTATGAGAAGGTGATGTGCTTAATGGATGAGGGAAAGGCTGTGGATGTTATCTACCTAGACATTAGTGAAGCCTTTTGACTTGGTTTTCCACAGCATTCTCCTGAAGAAACTGGCTGCTTAGGGATTGGACAGGTGTATACTTTACTGGGTAAAACACTGGTTGCCTGGGCCCAAAGAGTTGCGGTGAATGGAGTTAAACTCAGCTGACAGATGGTCACAAGTGGTGACCAGGGCTGAGTGTTGGGGCCAATTCTGTTTTATACCTTTATTGATTACATGGATGAGGGGATTAAGAGTACCCTCGGCACAAGTGTTAAGAGGGGCGTCTGAGGGAGCTGGGGTTGTTTAGCATGATGAAGAGCAGGTTGAGGGGAGACCTTATAGCTCTCTACAGTTGCCTGAAAGGAGGTTGTAGCGAGGTGGGTGTTGGTCTCTCCTCCCAAGAAACAGGAAATAGATTAAGAGGGAATGGCCTCAAGTTGTGCCAGGGGAGCTTCAGATTGGATATTAGGTAAATCATTTTCATTGAAATGGTTGTCAAACACTGAACAGGCTGCCCAGGGAAATGGTTGAGTCACCATAGAATCATAGAATCATAGAATCTTAGGGGCTGGAAGGGACCTCGAGAGATCATCTAGTCCAACCCCCCTGCCAGAGCAGGGTCACCTAGAGTACATCACACAGGAACTCATCCAGGTGGGTTTTGAATGTCTCCAGTGAGGGAGACTCCACAACCTCCCTGGGCAGTCTGTTCCAGTGCTCTGTCACTCTTACAGTAAAAAAATTTTTTCGGATATTCACCTTGAACCTCCTATGCTCCAATTTACACCCATTACCCCTTGTCCTATCACTGGTCATCACCGAGAAAAGCCTAACTCCGTCCCCCTGACACTCACCCCTTACATATTTGTAAACATTGATGAGGTCACCCCTCAGTCTCCTTTTCTCCAAGCTAAAGAGACCCAGCTCCCTCAGCCTTTCCTCATAAGGGAGATGTTCCACTCCCCTAATCATCTTCGTAGCTCTGCGCTGGACTCTTTCGAGCAGTTCCCTGTCCTTTTTGAACTGAGGGGCCCAGAACTGGACACAATACTCCAGATGTGGCCTCACCAATGCAGAATAGAGGGGGAGGAGAACCTCTCTTGACCTACTAACCACACCCTTTCTAATACACCCCAGGATGCCATTGGCCTTCTTGGCCACAAGGGCACATTGCTGGCTCATGGTCATCCTCCTGTCTACCAGGACCCCCAGGTCTCTTTCACCTACACTACTCTCCAGCAGTTCAGCCCCCAACCTGTACTGGGACATGGTGTTGTTCTTCCCCAAATGTAAAACTCTGCACTTCCCCTTGTTGAATTTCATCATGTTTCTCCCCGCCCAACTCTCCAACCTATCTAAGTCTCTCTGAATGGCAGCACAGCCTTCTGGTGTGTCAGCCACTCCTCCCAGCTTAGTGTCATCAGCAAACTTGCTGAGGGTACATTCTATACCCTCATCCAGGTCGTTGATGAAGATGTTGAACAACACCGGTCCCAGCACCGACCCTTGTGGGACTCCACTAGTAACACACCTCCAACCAGATTCTACCCCATTGACTACAACTCTCTGACTCCTTCCTTTCAACCAGTTCCTAATCCACCTCACTTCCTGGTCACCAAACCCATACCTGATCAACTTATCCACAAGGATGCTGTGGGAGACGGTGTCAAATGCTTTACTGAAATCAAGATAAACCACATCTACCGCTCTACCATCATCTATCCACCTAGTAATTTCCTCATAGAAGGCTATGAGGTTAGTCAAACATGATTTACCCTTGATAAAACCATGCTGACTGCTCTTGATGACCCCCATGTCCTTGATGTGCCTGGAGATAGTCACAAGAACAAGTTGTTCCATCACCTTTCCAGGGATGGAGGTGAGGCTGACCGGTCTATAGTTACCCGGGTCCTCCTTCTTGCCCTTCTTGTAGACTGGAGTGACATTTGCTATCCTCCAGTCCTCAGGCACCTCACCTGTTGCCCATGATTTACTGAAGATGATGGAGAGTGGCCTAGCAATGACCTCCGCCAGCTCCCTCAGCACCCTTGGGTGCATTCCATCTGGACCCATTGATTTATGGATGTCCAGATTACTCAACTGATCCCTAACCCAATCCTCATCTACCATGTCAAACTCTTCCTCTATCTTGACTTCTTCTGGGGCTATATGAATCTGGGGCTCATAGGGAGACCCTGCAGGAGTGAAGACAGAGGCAAAGAAGGCATTCAGCACCTCTGCCTTCTTTATATCCTCTGTCACCAGGGCTCCCACCTCATTCCTCAATGGGCCAATATTGCCTCTATTGCTAGTTTTGCTAGCTATGTACTTGAAAAAGCCCTTTCTATTATCCTTAACCTGACTTGCAAGGTTAAGTTCCAAGGAGGCCTTAGCTTTCCTAATTGCCTCCCTACATCCTCTGACAACAGTCCTATATTCCTCCCAAGTGACCAGCCCCTCCTTCCATGATCTATAGATTTTCCTTTTCCACTTAAGTTTGCCCAGTAGTTCCTTCTTTAACCATGCAGGTCTCCTAGCACCCTTACTAGATTTCCTAACCATTGGGACACTCTGATCCTGTGCTTGCAAGAAGTGGTCCTTGAATGTTGACCAGCTATCTTGAGCTCCTTTATTTTCTAGCACCCTGTCCCATGGGATTTCCCTTAATAGATGATTGAGGAGACCAAAGTTTGCCCTGTGGAAGTCCAGGGTTCTGGTCCTGCTGGGTATTTTGTTCCTTCCACACAGGATATGTACTCATATAAAATCTGTTTTGTTGTGATTACATCAGCTCAGTTAAGATTTTATTAGCATTTAAATTCTATCACCATGCCTTACAAATTAGGTAGTTAATATTGTACAAACAAGGCAAACAAATAATTATCTTACTGTATTGCTTAATAATCTACCTGGTCTTCTGACATTTTTCAAAAAGAATTTTCAGCTTCAGTACAATACATTTTTTTTCTACTATGTTCTTGTTTGTTACACAGTTGTCAGGCTTTTCACTCTCAGTCTATCCTTCTTTCTCTCTTTCTTTACCTTTCTTCTTTTAGATTCTGTAGTATTGCTACATTAAAAGAGAAAGCAAGGAGACTTGCTATTAAGGGGAAGAAATTCAAAGTAGAGTGAAAAGTCATAGCAGTACTGTGAATAATTAGAATGCAATGATTCTTTGAAATATAAATATGTGTAATTTTGTAGGAGTGTAAAATGGTTTGGTTTTTTTGTCCCTTGTTTTTTCTTTCTGGGTTTCAGTGTTTAGGAGTAAGGTAGGACAGGTAACAGCTTCTGTTGTTCAAATTTAAAAAAATGGAAGAGAATATTTCAGATTATCCCATATTTTGTTTTATTTTTATTTTTCTATTATAACCACTTATTTATTTGTTTATTTGTTTTATCTAAATGTTGCATTTTAAAATGCTTTTAAATTCCCTCTTTCAGAGGTTTACCTTTTCTGAATTCACAGCTCAGCAAATCTGCAGGAATTCAAAACTGTTTCTCTACCACCACATTTGTTTTTATTATGTATGTCTTCAAAAAGAGGTTATTCTAAACATTACAGATTTACCTATGGATAAGAAATCATGAGTTATAATATTATCTTTTCCAATCCTTTCAGTTCTCAGTTTTCTCAGTCTAGCCTTCTCTTTGACTCAAAGATTCTTCCAAGTTTAGTCCACATTGAAACTTGTTCTGGTTCTTCTACTCCAGAACACTTTACCTATCTCTATTTTTTCCTGTATTTTCTTTATTTTAGAAATTCTCTATTCAGTCAAATCATATATTTGCTCTTCTTACAGCACTGCTTTTCTTTAGGTTCCACTGTAAAATCATTAAAATAAGAAGCTTTTAAAGGCCTTTCAATAGCCCTTGGAAAAGGTCCTATGTATATATTTTGGGGGAAAACCTCCCAAAATCTGCATGGAGTGTTTAGACCCTATGTAAAAAAAAAAAAGGAAAAAAAAAAAATAAGTCTTGAAGGCTGCTTTCTCTATTCTCTGTTCTAGAGAAGTAAAAGCATGGTCCTTAGGCACCCGCTGCTCCCTGCCTGCCCTCTGCTCCCTGCCTGCCCTCGTGCGGCTCTCTGCCTCTCCGCCTGCCCTCGCGCCTGCCACGTGTCTCCTCCCTGGAGGCCGCTGCCGCTCTCTCTTCTGCGCTGCCGCGTGCTCAGACGAGGCTGCCAAATGGCCGCTTTTTAACTCTTGCTGCCGTTCACAGCCACACCCCCTGCCACGTCAGCCTTCCTCTCCCTCGCAGGCTTCCCGCTCAGACTCGGGTCTCCTGGCTCTGCCCCGGCTTCACCGTCTCTGGGAAGCCCGGCTCCCTCTCAAATCCTCAGTAAATTTAAAGGAACAGCTCTCACCGCTGCCGGTGCTGCTGCCGCTCTCTCTTCTGCGCTGCCGCGTGCTCCATCCCTGGAAGTATTCTAAAAATGTGTAGATGTTGTGCTTAGTGCCATGGTTTAGTGGTGAACTTGGCAGTGTTATGTCAATGGCTGGACTTGATTACCTTAAAGGTCTTTTCCAACCTAAACAAACCCATTATTCTATTCTATGGATGACATCATTCAGTTCCAAACATCAAACTCTTTAATTCAATGATCATGAGATGCAAAACATAAATCCCATAGAAACACGCACCACTCAAAAAAAGTACCTGAAAAAATAAGTTGTTTTACATTTAGTGAACTGTGTTGAAATTATAAATCATCCAGTTACAGCGTAACAGACATTTATATACATGTAAAGAAGCTGTAAGAGTTAAGCATAGCAAATTACACTGCTTTTAGTGAAATACCTTGTTGGATGTGAAGTGGAGGTAGGATGTTAACCCAATGTGGTGGAAAGATATAAAGCAGCTGATTTGTGAAGTAAGCTGCCATGAATCGTGCCATGGATCGAATCACAGCCATAGCAGCTTCTGTATGAACACCTGTTACCATCCATAGTTCATGCTGAAAATACCTGGTATCTAAAAAAAAAGATGTAAAATTAAAACATTACGAGAAAAATTATTTTAAATTTGAATGCTGAAATTGTTTAATCACAGCTTGTAAAATATTGCTCTGAAACAAGCAATTACTTACTTTTTTGGCACAGCTTTCAGGACTTGGGAGAGCTTAATGTTTTACCCTATTTGCACATTATATTAATATCAAAAGACTTTTATACCTGATTTTTTATTACTAGAAGCAGACCTCTAATACCTAAATTTAGATCTGCACCAAGTAAAAAAAAAACTGTTTAAATTTGGGAATTTTATAATTCATCGTCTAACTTAACAGAAAAAAGTTGAAAGAATCTGCAAAAAAATATCCAGTGTGAATTTAGGACTGGAGACGAATCTAAAATCCAATATTTTATCATGTTATATTATAAAAGAGTTAATTCAATATTAAATTCATTTCCCCTGTTTATTTTTTTCAGTGGATTTGAATATAAGAGCACTTAATAGGTCAAGCTTCACTATTAATTATACAGTTAAAGTTGTCTAAAATCTTGCCAACAAGTGCAGCTCAAAAAACATCTGCAGATCAGAAAAAGATCTTTAAAGTCACTGAAAACAGACTTTAGTCTAGTGTAAGAAAAGCATTCTGTCAAGTGTGTGTTTGATGGCACAGAAATTAGACACTAGGTTATTCAAGCATTATCAACATACTTTATCACATTTTTATGCAATATAAACATACCAGAAAAATTTTCCATCTGACACACTGAGAGCTGTGATCGCCTTAGAATCTCTCCTACCAGATGATCACAGAGTCCCTGAGCCTCACTCAAGTTATATTGATACAGATGGCAAAATAATATTGCAAGATAATATCTACTCTGAAGAAAACGTGTTCTTTTTCCTCCTGCATTAAAAGAGAAAGAAGTGTAGAAGTCCAGTTAGAAAATAAACAGTAAATATAAAACAGACACAGTAGATTCAAAAGTATCTCCTGAAACACAGCTATGTAAACACATACTCTGAGAGGTAGCAGAACTCAGGAGCAGCTACTTCAGGAGAGAAGATCCTCCTACAGCCTATAAGTTATTAATGAGTTTACACTCATCCACAACAGCTTTACTTCAACAGAGCTGGCAGTTTTCAAAACAATACAGTGTATAGTAAAGACACGAAGACAGGATTGCTCAAAGGGAGCTTAGCCTTCAGGGAAGGGATGCCTAAACCACAATTAAATTGTTTATACATTCATCAAGCTTCCAATATCTTGACTTCTATTTACATGAGGTATTCCCCATCATAATAAGCAGTCAAAAAATTTTCTAATCCCTGTGAAGACTCTGGAACCTTACTGAAATCAACTTCTAAATAAACCCCATCTGAAATTATTTTGTTTTGTTATTCCCCACACGCAAATTCTTTTGATTGTATAGCTACTGCTCAGAAATAGAACTAAAGCTTTTCTGTACCGATTACTTCATAATCACAAGAAAACTCTGTTATAAAAATAGAAATGCATGGAACTTTCTAGGGAAGAAATCACACTTAAGCTTTGAATGGTCTCTATTCAAATTCCAGCCTAATTCCTAATATGCATCCTTTCTGTGTCTTGTCCCCTTTTTTGGAAGGGCAAATAGAGTAATGAAAGAACATAAAAAGTGATTATACAACTTATTCTCTCCACTCTAAAAGATTTTGTCCCTTACCTTTTGCCTTTATTTCGCTAAGGCACCTTCTCCAGATGTCCACAGATTCCCCGTATGAGCCTAAAAGGAACTTCTCCTCACCTACAAGAGTCACAAATTAAAATCTCTAGATAGTTAAGTGTTGTATGTATGCAAACACACAAGTACTTCAATATTACAGGGTAATGAAAAACATGTTAAAAAAATGTGAATCTTCAGCAAGTATCCATTCTCAGGGCTGTAACTGAGTTTTAAGCACCTGAGAGAAGACGACTTGGAATATCCCTTCCCATCTTTTTTTTTTTTAATTGCTAAATCACTATTTAATGAAAAAAGCAATTCAGGATACAACTTCGAGTAAATGGGTTTTTTTTTTAGATTGTAAAACATTATAAATGTTAACTATAGTTAGAAACTTAACTATTCAAAACAGTCAATAGTTATTCACAGGGAAAAACATTTTCTCTTATCTCTTTTCACGTTTCCTGTGACGTGGAAGATGTTTCTCCAATGTGATAAGTAGTTGTTTAAATTATTTAAAATTACATAAAATTATTTGGCAAGTTGAACATATATATTCATTTTCAGTTTAAAAGCTCATTAAAACAACAGGTCTACAGACCGCTACACATTTCATCCTTCTAAATGGGACCTCTCCACCTCTATTCCCATTCTGATTTTTAATCCATTGGTCAATTCTTAAATGCTTTCACAGAAAGTTAACTGTAAAAGAGCACATTTCCTGGGCAAAGCAGAAGGGAAAAAAAAATAGCCCTACCATGTATGAAAAGACTGGGACAAATGTGTCACTCTATCCCGCTTACTAGCAGCTAGCCAGTTCAGCTACTGCCTGGTCCATCTATATACATGTTACTCTGGCTTATCCAACTGTGCTGTATCTATCTGGCAAACTGAATTCCTCACAAGGAATGAGCTGAAAGGCAGTTGCATCTACTGTTAGGACAAGTGAGAGACATAAGAGCTAATGTCTTGTACAGAGTGATATGGGAAGAGAAGTCAGAAGCATTATTTAAGGGAGAGAGATTAAGAAAATGGAGGCGAAACAGAACTGTGATGGGAGACATAAATGGAAAGCTGGGCTTAGTTTGGAAGGGTAAAGAACACAGAACAGTAATGTATAGGATGTTAGGCTACAACCATATACTACTTGCAAAATAAATACAACAGTATAAGTTTATTACATTAGGTTACACTTAATTAGATGCCTAGTTGAAGCTGACTAGTTTCATATACACAACATGCTCATACCCCAAGTGATCATGTGGAGTGAGCAGGACTTCTACATAGAAACCCAGCAAGAGACACCTTGTGATGCCTGTCTACTAAAGACCAAATAACACAGTATAGAATCACAGGATGACAGAGTGGTGGGAGTCAGAAGGAACCTCTGAAGATCATCTAGTCTAACCTCCAGTTCAAATGAGATCAGAATGCAGATCCTGCATTCAGATTATCTACAACATGATTCAAAGCAAACTGAAGTCAACACAACATTCTTATTCAGCTCAACAAGCTCTAAAATTTTAATACAATCTACAGGTGTACTGGGACATGAAATATTAATGCAAAAGTTCTGATCAGAATTTTAAGAGAAGTCCCACTATCAACTTTAAAATCTGGTGGTCAGATATTGTTTGTCATTTTCTTAGTATTCAGTTAACCATACAACTACCTGACATTTGCAGTTCTTTTCAAAGTACTAACCAGATACAGAATTAATCTTCCAATGCTGTTCTAACGTCACTCCTGAGGATTGGAGGGTCGCTTGTATATGACCTAAAAGCAATGAGACAATAGACTCTTCTTCTGCATTCTTGTTCACTTTTCTGTTCAGCTGCATCTGATACCAAACCACCTTCTTATACAATAATCGCCACAGTACAATCAACCTGTAATTCAAGAAGTACAGCATTATGAAAATCAAGAAAAGTTAACAGAGTTATTTATGCAGTTTTCTTATTGTCTTACCAATTTTGCATTATGCATCTGAAAATTAAATAGTATTTTATGTTAACTACTTTCTTTAATGAGGGGAATAAAAGGAAACATTTTTATTTTCTAACCAACAAGCAGTGATTCTTCTGAATTTGCACAAACACAACACTATACTTCAAGCATCCAAAGGCACCCAAAATTATTCCCTTGCTATCATAACAATGATAAAGGTAACATAACAATGGAAAGAGGTAACACAGATAAACCTCAAAACAGGTATCAGTATCTTTATACACAAGGTTGAGTAAAAATAAAATGAAAGCATAACACAGAGCATGCTTTTAGAGCTATCAAGTCCTTGATGCCCAGCAGAGTTATATTAGATGTACCAGCTCAAATACGCTATAAGCTCACTGATACATGCAAATACACATTGTCAGGGACTTGAAAAAGCTTGTATGGAATTCCAACACATCTGCACCTTCCTCTCTAGCCCTGCTGCTTCCATTATTAATAGATACAGTCACCTATACAGTGCTCAGAATGTGGCGCACAATTAATCAACAATGTGAATTATCTTCTCAGAGACAACAGAAATTTGTCTATCAAATTTGTAATAAACATAGTACTATATTTTGTACATGAAATTTACCATAGCTGAGATTAAATTTGTAAGCTTTAATGCTTCTTAGGTTCTAAATCTCTGAGAAGTAACAGTTTGCTCCTGCGGTTAACAGACTTTGATTCAAGTTCTGCAGTAAAGTAAAACTTCAGTGATAATAATATACTTTCCTAATAACTAGATGGCACACTTCTTTCAAGTTTATGTGTTTATCTTCAAAGAAGAAATAGATCTGATAGTTTCCACATACTGGGACACTATATTCATACTCTAGGGCAAACTTTGCTCATTAAATCAACATTGCAGATATACTGCATATGAGCAGCCTCTTGGCTCAACAGAGTTTGGATATTCTGCATGAGGAGCGGAATGGGCAAGAGGCAGTAAAAAACCTGCAATGCCTGGATTGGTGCTGCACTACCAGACCTGGTTTGAGACGTTAACCCACCAATTATATGTGAGCTGGCTGGCTGATCAGTTAACTCAATATAACTTACCTATATTCAACTACAGGTCTGAGCCCTAACATACATGATTTAATACATTGTCAAGGTTTTCCACTGGATATGACGCATAAAAGAAACAAAGCAATGTGGTTATTACTGTATAATTGAAAAATATAGTTGCTGTTTCATAATACATAATCATGGAATCACTTCGGTTGGAAAGGACATTCCAGATAACTGAGTCCAACCACCAGTTGCCCCTTGAATCCAGACTGTCCAGGTCCCTCTGTAGAGCTTTCCTACCCTCAAGCAGATCAACACTACCACCCAATGTGGAGTCAACTGCAAACTTACTGAGGGTAACACTCTAATCCAGATAATCGATCACAGAATCACAGAATCACCAAGGCTGGAAAATACCTTTGAGATCAAGTCCAGCCTATGACCAACACCACCACATCGGCTAGACCATGGCACCAAGTGTCACATCCAGCCTTTCCCTGAACACATCCAGGGATGCTGCCTCTACCACTTCCCTTGGAAGTCCATTCCAATGTCTAATCACCCTCTCTGTGAGGAGGTACTTCTGATAATGATATGAAAGAGAACTGGCCCCAACCCCCAGTCCTCGGGAGCAACACTTGTTACCAGCCACCAACTGCCCTTCACTTCATTCACCCCAGCTCTTTGGGTGCAGCCTGCCAGTGTTTTACCCACAAAGCGCACACGCATTCAAGCCAGGAGCAGCCAGTTTCACCATGAGAATGCTGCAGGAAATGGTGTCAAAGGCTTTACTAATGTTCAGGTAAGTGACATGAACAGCCTTTTTCTCATCCACTAAGCAGGTCAGCTTATCATGGAAGGACATCATGTTAGTCAAGCTGGACCTTCCTGTCATAAACCTATACTGACTAGTCTTGAGTTCAGTCACCTGTCCTGTATATTTCTTTTTCCCCATGCAAAGATCATTCATACCTTTTTTCTGTTTTTGCATCATGGTTCACTCCTTGAGGAGGCTCTCTAAGAAGAGATTTCAGTGAGCTGAACTGCTGAGTAGTAGTCTCATCAAGAACTTGGAAAACAGGCACAGTGAGAGAGTCAAGTTCCACAAGACTATTATCATGAGGGGATGCAAAACAATTCTCGTACTGTAGTAGGCACACGCTACTTAGAGTATGGGAAACCATTTTCAAAAGACAGAAGCATGCCAAAAGGCTTTTTGAGAACAATTCGTCTTGGTGCTGTATAAGCATCAGTTTTAAAGTTTGCAATGTCAACTTTGCCACATGCCCAGTTAGACTGGCTCTTGAATGCCAGTGCAAGACAGTTAAACACTGTTGAAAGCATTTTAGGACACAATGCATCCAGTGAGTATTCTTCACAGACTTATTTAAAGATGCATCCTGGTTTAGCAAAGAACTTTTCACAAACTGAAGAATGTTGAAAAAATGGATCATGCAGTTCACTGTGTAATTCAGCAATGTATCCTTCTCCTCCGTCGTTTTTGAAATCCCTATCTGCCATGCAGCAAGGAGGTTTTCCCGAATGGAACGGAGTTCCACTGATGACGAATCTTTCTCTTCAGTATCGTCATTTGCATGGATAGTATCAAACATTGATGCAAATTCTAAGTGGCCTTGATCTGCTTTACCAACAAATGAATGGGTTCTTCGGCTACAGAAGCTGGAAGGGCTATTGCAAACCTGCTTTTCGTCATCTGATTCCTCTTCGCAATCCTAATCAGGCCAAAAAAAAATACATCTACAGTTTAATTCAAGTCTACTGAGAGAGCATAGTCTGCAATGCTTAATTACCTTGCTTAATTGTTAGTAAGTTTAATTCACAGCTGTTTCATCTAGACCTCAGATTAAATGTGGCCATTCAGAATAGTTGTGCAGACAGAAATTAACTTTCCTAAGAACAACAAAAACCCACACTGTAAACACAGCAGTAATTTTTATATTAGAAAGTGAAACCCTGTCCTTTATTAACCCTAGGGTATAGGAAGGGGTTTTGCCAGTTACCTGTAAGATATAAAAGACATTTACAAAAGCTGAAGAACTTCAAAGAACAAATCAAAAACCAAAAGCATGAAATTGTCTTGGGAAAGACTGCATAGTAACTTTGATCAGAAAACTGCTCTTCCAAAAGACAAGGTCACACTTTGGAAATGATGGAAGAATCCTCTAAAACTGAGGATAAGTATCTTCTTTACTAAGGATAATGATATTTTACTTCTTATCAACATACTTTATAGACCCAGTATACTCAGTAATGAAATGTTACATTTTTTTGTAAAGTGAAGCTCACGTATTAAATTACAATAAACTGATGTATATGTAGATTAACACATATATTTCAAAAAGTTAATGAACTGCTGTAAGAATTAAGATACTTGAAAACAAAAATCAAGTATCAGTTGAGAAAAATAACATATTCCTTGCACCTATGTACTGAGTATTGGTTAAATACACCTACTAAGAGCAAATATATCTATATTCTGTGAAAAAAATTACTCTTTACATTTTGAATACCTTAAAATTAAATTATTTGCATAACTGCAAATGGAAAAATGCTAACAAATACCAGTAAATCCATGGTTTTCTCACTCATTGTGTCCTCTTCCAGGAATTTCGGAATGGTGGAAAAGATGGTACTTTGGTCTGGAGCATCTTTTAGAAGACTAGCTTTTAAAGACAACAGTGATCTTAAAAACAGAGGCCTCCCTTTAGACTAAAAGAAATAAGAAAAACGCACAATACATTATTTGGCTTTAGTATGATCAAACCAGACACTTAAGAAAGAAACCAATGTCTTCAGTAAAAAGCTTCAGTTTAGAAGTCCCAGACAAAAACAGAGAACAGGTCAGCAGGCCAGCAGCATATCAGGAATGCAGAATTTTCTCTGCACCAGACCACTTTACTTTGCTTCACTCTGAAATAATCTGCTTTCTTGATCCCTGAAATCATCCTATGAGCTTGCCAGTGTGTAGGGCTTGCTTGCATTCTTTTTAGTCAAGTATCTCCTTAAATCCTCAAATCATTGCCCACTTGTTCCACCTTGGGTATGAATACCATCATGACTCACTTCTCCCAATTCAGTTTGTATTTTGGATTTTTTAAGAGAAGTTATATTCCTTCAGCAAAGGCTAAAATTTTGAACTTTTTATCCATTCTACCTTACTTGGCTGAAGGACCTCTACAGACTTCCCTTTGGAGAGACTTACTTCAATTCAGGAGAGGCAGAAAAAAAAATAAGCTTCAATCAAGCTTTCATTGAAATCCTCAATTGTGGACCAAGTGGACACATGAGCACAGCACCAGTGGGACTGCTCTAAAGCAGCAGAAACCTAACACAGGTCCTTTCTGTACCATTCTCAACAGAGGAGTTGGTCACAATACCTGTCAATCCTAAGTCTATAGATAGTGAAATTCCAATTTCTTTATAGTACCAGAAATAATATACAGTAACAGTTAAGACTGTTCCTTTTGCTACATTTTACAAAAATGTCACCAAAACATCAAAGGAATAAAATTTCAGAGAAAAACAGTGTATTCACTGGTTTCTAGATCAATGCTACTCTCAAAAAAACATTATAAGCAAACACCACAGTAAGCTAGATTGAGCTACTCAGTCAAAAAATTACACCTTCGTATACACATGAAGTTCTTTACTTAAAGCCTACAAAACAATTCATAATCCTACCTTAGAGTTCAGCAAATTCCGATGGATATTTTCAATTCGTTGGGTTGAATCAAGCAAAAGGGATCTTACAAATCCTGATGGTGAAAGGTTCTTAGGAAACCTAAGCACTGTTATCATGTATCCATCAGAGACAATGAGGTAGGGTAGTCTTGAATGTGAAGCAACAGAGAATCTCTGTCTCATAAGGTCACTTTCAGAATCGGAAGAATGAAGAGACTGACCAGAGTCTTGACAAAAAGAATGCTGCTGTCTAGAATGAAGATATTTAAAAAGAAAAAAACTCTCATATGTAATAATCATCAACAGAATAGAGAAGAAATAACTTAGGAACATATAACAGGACTCACACAGCTGTCTCAGTAAATCCACTCAGAATTCCAAGTGTCTAAATTTCTGCAAGATGAGTGCTATTGATAGCACTATTTATACTTGCAAGATACCAGCACTTTACTTCAAATGCAACTTTTTAAATGAAAAAAAAACAACCAAACACAACAAACAGCTTGCCATATCCTCTTATTATTTAATTCCTAAGTATATATATTTTTCACAACTTGACTTTAAGATTTTATACCAAAGTTTCTTACCTAGCTCTTACTGTGTATGACTAGTGCTTGAAGATTAAATTCTAAGTAGCTTCTAATGAAGTCAGGTACGAGAAAAAAACACCGTCAAGATATCTTAGTATTTCATAGAATCCTAGAAGGGTTTAAGTTGGAAGGGACCTTAAAGATCATCTCGTTCCAACTCCCCTGCACTCCTGCACTGACACAAAAGAGGTCTTATAAAGTAATTTCTTATAATAAATCACTCTTTTTTTAGCTCTAGAAAGCTCTGTTGTTCATGTACTTAAGTATTAGTCCCATGCTTTGAAATAATGTAGAAATTAGTTTTTTTCTATTTCTTATTAGTCCAAAAGTAGGTAATTATTTTTTAAAAAAGCAGCTGCATATATTTATTTAACAACCAAATTGAGGTATTTTAATAGATTTTACCATCTAGTTTTTCACCCAGTGTAAGAAGCTATTACAATGCTTTGTGTGTTTTCATGAGATGTTACATTTACACATTATCTGGCTTTAGTTAGTCAGAATTATTAAGATTTATTTATTTTTTTAATATTTCAGTTTAGATTCTGTTCTTTTTCCTCTAGTTATTCAGACTGTGTTACTTTTTGTAGCTTTCTTTATGCTAAAATCCATTATCAGAAATCCCTTTATTCCCTTGTGCACCCAGCAGCATAATTAAAAAATTTGGATCTGGAGTACCCTACAAAAAACATTTTAATTGTTAACTAGTTTTTGTCCATGAAAACTTAGAAAGATCTGATATGAAAAAGTAGTATAAAGTTCTACAAGTGAATCAAATAGTGACTGGTGAAATACCATTGAATTAAAATAAATCTGCACTTTTAGAGCTTCTGTAGGTTTTAATTTCTTCTTACAACATACAAACATGTTATTTTTAATTACTACTAAATTAAAACACTTTTAAAAAAACAGATAATTCAATGTATACTTACATTGTCACAATGCCAATTTTCATCACGACAAAACCATTATAAGAAAAAGAGGAGAACTATGAATGAGAATCATATTTAGAAGACACATCAAAAGCAGAAGAAAGAATTTGAAAAATGAAAATTACGTAAAATTGTGAAGAATAGGTTAGAAAGTAAGATAACATCACATGACAAAAATGTATAAATATTTTCATCTCCTTTTACCTGTATGTTATTAGTGGATGAAGTGGAATAAATTCTGCTGGTCCAAATTCTACAGAGCAGCCAGAAGTAATCAAGGTCAGCATTTCACCCATACATGTCAATAAAATCAAAGATCCACGTTTTAACATGCAAGCCAAGAAGAGGCTATCAGGAGTCCAACTCATATCACCAACCCAGTAAGATCTAAATTGGTCAGGAAAAAGTATTTTTTCTGTCAAACTTCTGTATCAAAAGGTTAGGGCAGTTAGAAAACAAAAACAACAAAAATCCCCTACAACACAAACCCAAAACCCCCGTAACACCAGCAGAAACATCATCAACTACTGACCTGATAAATTTGGATGGGACTGTGCTATTCCTGCTACTACAACCTTTAAGGCTACCCGAAACAGTTACAAAATTCAATGTATTTAAAAACAAAATCTGAGTTGCCTAGAAAGAAAATGTAAACAAAAGATAAATATTTGTATCAAAATATCATTGTTGTAAAAAACTATTTCTATTAGCAAGTTATGCATTACATCTGATGTACTTAAAGCACCAGAGATAAGTGACATTCCACTTCAATATTTATTACTATTTAGAGTATTAATTTCTGTACCTATTTCTACATTTAAAAATATTCATTATTATTATAGATTCAATATATATTATATAATATGTAATTCAATTTTTTTTAAACATTAACTAAAAAAGCCTCTCAAAATAATTTAAGATCACTCCTCTGTAGTCTTGCTGGTGAATAACAACTGCAGCTTTGAAGGACTGAATCATCTGATCCTTGTACACTAAATACACTGATCCATATTCTCTGTCACCATTAGCGCTAAAAACTACATTAAAGTTTGGCCTCTGAATCATCAGAATGAATAATGTCATGAAATGCACACATAATCCCCAACAGCTGTTAGGCCGAGATCTGACTCCTCCTCTCTCCTTCAAGGTACAATTAAGTCACTGAAATTAATTTATTCTTGTATTTCTTGGAGATTAGAAATTTCAGAGGCACTTACATGGATTTCTTAACTGAACAACAGCATTAAAAATATTACATGTTGCAGCAGAGTTTTTTAGGTATGTATATCAGTGTGAACATAACTACATCTATCAACAAGAATGCTAAAAAATCACAAAAACATATTATTAAATATCCAAAAACATATTATTAAATATTTGTAAACCACTGCACTCAAACTGAACTACTACCTTAAATTAATAATTGTTTATTATTCATACCTTTGGATCAGTTTGATTAACAGCAACTGCAAGCAGAAGTCCATCTCTTGCAAATGCACACAGCAAAGCTCCTCTTGACTTTACCGATACACACCGAGGAACCAAATTAACAAGAGAACAAGTCTGCTGTACCCAATGTATCTGGTATGGCAAAGAACTGAGCAGCAACAAGTAAAAAAAGAAAATTAAACCAAGAGGCTATTCAGTTACGCTGAATGGGATGACCAATATGTAGTAAAAAAAAACACCTAAAGCACGTGAGAAAGAAATAACCTATTTTTCTTCAAATACCTGACAAATGAAAAACATTTTACGTTTACAAGAGTTTAAAATCCTGCCTGAGCACTGAGAATTACTTTTATGGGACAGGAACTGGGGTTATATGTATGGAACATGCAAATAAATACTGATGCATGGTATATAACTAAGGAGATTACATTCTAACCACAACAGCTTCCCCAAGAGAGGATAACATCATCCAACACAGGGATAGTCTGATTTCAAAAACTAAAATTAACAGTAGCCTGCTATGAACCAAAAAGTTATGGGTGGCCCATCACTGGAAGTGTTCAAAGTAAGGTTAAATTGGGCTTCCAGCAATCTATCTAGACGAAATCGTTCCTGTCCATGGCAGGAGGGTTACACTAGACTATTTTGAAAGATCCCTGGATTTAGGTTACAGCTTAGGATACAATTTTTCACTGCGAGGATGGTGAGACAGTGGCACAGGCTGCCCAGGGAAGCAGTGTCTGTCCCATCCCTGGAAGTGCTCAAGGCCAGGTTCAATGGGGCTTGGAGCAAATTCTAATGGAAGGTCTTCCTGCCCAGGGTAGGGAGATTAGAACTAGATGATCTTTAAGGTGCCTTCCAATCCAAACCATCCTATCAGTCTATGATATACAATTACCATATATTCATCATATTTATGCATGTATTGTCCATGTACCAACATACAATGTGACATGCTATAAATATTCATATGCAAACAGAAGTAGGTGTTTGTAAACATAGAACATTAATGTAAATGTGTTCAAGTGCAGCACTGAGTTCTAGCTCTAAAGGACAACATAATAAAAAAACATCTCCCTTAAGTTAATGTAGCTTCAAATAGCTTTTAACTTACCTAACATATTTGAAGCTGCTTTCATGCCATCGAAGAATCAAAAATGTGAACACCAAACACTCCTCAGAGTAAAACACAAAAGAGCACAAACAGCAATCACCCAGTATCTGTGGAAAAGAAACAACCAAAACGAGAACTCAAAAACCTGGGTAGGCACAATTTTCTCTTTAATGGTTCAGACATTTACATCAATAGCCATTATCATTCCAATTAAATTAACATCATGTTTTCCTTCAGAAATATAAAAACTGGAAAGAATACTACTGGGTGAGATAAACTTCCATCTGACCCAATATGGCTGTTCTTTTGTTGTCATTAAATCTAATACAAAGCGAACAATTAAGCCTACACACCACACCAAAGAGGCAGACATCACTCTCAAAATTCACTGTAACTTCTGTGGCTCTAATTTACTTAGGAGATCAAATGACTGCTTTATGGCACTTTTTTTTACCTCATTTTGTATGAAAGCAGCATGCACCCCAACTTCTTTTTCTTCAGTAGAAGGCAACATGACTGATTCTTCAGGCAAAATTTGTGCCCAACGCCCAAATGAAGAATTTTTATAAGAGGACGTATTTTCATGTTCTGTGCTCTCCCACAAAAAGACACATGCTGTAGCAGTAGCTAGCAATGCCTTTCTGCCATCTCCAGATACATACAAATACAATCTCATTAAACACTCTGGAAAAAAACAAAACACAACAAAAATAAAACAAACAAGAAACATAACACAGAATTGTTTCTGGTCCTCTGTTAGACTTGGATTTAAAAAAAGAAAGGAAATTTTTTTCCTCTCTAGTACAAGAAAATCCAAGCTGCCACCTTAAATACCTTTTATTTCCAGCTTCACCACTGAGAGTACACCCTAGGCAGTAGTGTCGGATGGGATGCCCATCTTAATGCATTTCATTAATTATCTTTCTTACAAGACTTAACTATTACAGTTGTCCCTTGAGATGGTCTTTTTTAAAATCCATATTCCAAAAACGATTAATAAACATGCTCTACTATTCATTACTTTCAGCTCCTAAATGCTCCACTAATCTTACTCGTAACGACAGAATTTATTGCACAATACTTCACTTTACAACCTGATATCAGTGAGAATATTCAATATATTACAATACGTGATACTTAAGTTTGCAAATACATGCCTTTGTATTATCCCCAGTCAGCATTTCTCATAAACACCTACCTTCAGAATAAACTTCAAAATACACATACAGGGTTTGTATCAGATGTATATCTTCTATAAGCTATTAATAACCTAGTAAGAAATGCTTTTCTACAGTTGAAAACTAACCATCAAAAAAGAAACAACTGCTGCATTTAAAAACTAATGACTCTATACAGAAGATTACTAAATGGAAAAAACGGTACCATTCAAGTGACAATGTGGACATTTATCAAATGTTAGCTAGCACAGAAATTATGCAAATGTGAAGCAATGTAAGAACATAGCTTTTACTTGTGTAATAACACTGAGCAAAAGGAAAACCACTTTCGCTCTACTTGATTTTTCAAAAAACTGAAAAAAACCTACCTTGTGCTGCTGCAACTACTGTCCTAGACTCTTCGATTGCTGGCACAATTTTCAAGCAGTCCTGATCTTTATTCCAAAGAAACAGCTCTCCTGTTTTAAGCATTCCTG